ACACTCTTTATAAGTCCACCAACGCAGCATGAGAGGGTAGATAAATTGGATTGCTCAGGAATTTACTGCATAGCATTTGTCGTCTGCAAAAAGAAATACATTGGCGAAACTGGGAGAAAAATCGGTATATGAATCAAGGAACCTCAAAGGCTCTGCAGGAAAATGGATACGGAAAGTTCAGATATAGTGGAACACATCGCAGAGACTGGACACGAGATCAATTGGAAGGCAACAGAAAGAAATGAAAGCACAAAGAAACGTAAAATTAGGCAGGCAATTGACATCCTTAGGGAAAAAATTTAATGAAGAGAATATTGGAAGAAGGCAGAGTCAGTGATAACTTTGCCTATTGCAGAGAAAAAAGGAGTGCAACAGGACGAGCAAAAATTAGACGCCTGGATCAAGGATCTATCATAAACCAGAGAAAAAGGGATCGCAAGGAAGAAGAGGGTGAGGAAGATTCGGAAATGAAGAGAAGACGTTTTCATTGAGAGTAGTCAGTTCGAATAAACAACTACAACTTGGGGACCCGACATTTCCCATGGCTAGTGAGAGGTATTGGCTCACATATATCGGGTATTATGACCAAATTGACTAATAATCCACTTGAGATGCAGCAAGTGACCACGGATAGATGTCCACAGTTTGCTCAAGGTACACGGGCACAATATAGGATAGGATGCGTGAAGATGATGCCTAATATCCGTAGACATGGGCGCTCTAAGAAAGATAAGGCTTGAGAAATAGCACCCTGGAGGAAATGGATAGAGGGACCCAGAAAAAACGAGGAGTGATAGCAAAACCGTCTCGACAGAAAGTTGGTCAAGGGATTGACTTCACTTGTCTCTTTGACGAGATGTAGCTTGGCTGCTTAGAATGGCAAGACTCACAGATGATGCCGATTACGAGGCAGGTGAAACGTCTGAGAATGTACCAAATGCACGGTCCGACTCTGGAGATTATGCTGCATACTATGGACTCCGGAAAAGGTGAGTTCCTCTAGGTCTTTCTGCTAATATGACCAAGTAGCAAAAGCAAGGTTAAGCAACTTCTATGCGAAGAAAGGAGACCGCGATCATACAAAAGACAACACCATCCTGGTCTTCATATCAATATAAACGAGGATATTCTCCTAAACTCAATTTTTCTCTGTAAAAAATAGTAAATTACCGCTATTTATGGTTCGTTGGATGAGCAGCTCCACTCCTCCGACTCGGATCATGATGGCATTCTGCCAGACACATATTGGGTTGATTACTGATCTCAGCAGGCGTTGAGACATACTATTTAGTGTAGGTGATTCTTCTGGTTGTCCATCGGTCAGAGCGTAGCTTTTAACAACGTTTGTAAACAGGTCGCTTGTTATGGCAGCTTCCTGGCCGAGCACACAGACGTCAAAGCAGGACGCCTGAGCCCCCACTGACGGTGTTGCCACGATAGAGTTTAGCAGCTCTTCTGACCGTTTGTAAAGGCATGCGGACACTATCCGAGGGAATAGGTTTGCCGGCATGCCTACACGGAATTTGAATGCAAATTTCACCTTGTTCACTGAGTCTAAATATTTACCTGACGTAAAGTCGGGAAAGAATTTCTTCTAGAAACATCAAAAGAAGAATTGCATATGATGGTTTTAGATATTGTACTTGAAAATGTGAACTTTTTCTCGTAATGGAAAAAATAAATAATTACTGACATCTGTTAGAATATGTGAGTGTATGCAATCGAATCTATCCTGAGAAAAATATTATTTTTCGCATATAAGCAGAGTTTCGATGGAAACATCAGCTCCACTCATATCATTGTGGAAAAATTCGACTATCATAGTCCTTCATCACTTCAAACGAAATAGGGTGGATAGATATCAAATAGAAAATTACTAGTTGATCATACAAAAAAGTTAATGAATGCTCAGGCACCCATCACTTTAAATGATAGGTTTTATTGAATTAACAACTTATCGTAGGTATGTAGAAAAACTAGGTTTAGAAGAATCCCTTAATAGATTGCCGTTGAAGCCACTTCACATTTCATCCAGAGCCACTTAGCCTTTCAACAAGCATTTAGGCAAAACATAGGATATCCAACCAAAACATGAGATGCCTAAATGGACCAAATTGGACCATAAGAAGTAGGTAGGTCTGAAGCCGGCCACCTTTCTTGTGTTTGAGTTTTTGGTGAATTATCGTTAAACATGGTCACGAAGTCCGTCACATGACGGACGAAAGCTCAGCAAGGATTCATCGGAGTCGCAGCGCGGTGTGCCAAAGACCTATTCGCACAAATCTACAATCACAGCTCCAAGGCAATCCTCCTACAGCTTTCGGTGAGACCATCCTACGAATCCCTTCCACTCGCCTCTTCAAACGAAATAAATGACACGCCAACATTACCCATATATTGTTTTA